GTTCCCCTGTAATTAGCCTTAGTAGTTGATTTGACAACTGTTGTTTTAGGCAATGTTCCTTTTCTAGATGGCTAACATGCATTCCTCCTTATTGAAGAAGGATCAACTTATTTGTGAGCCAGCAGATTTCCCTTCCTACTTCTCCATTTAGGAGGCTACAAGCATCTGACTTTGGATATACTCACATGAGCCATGCTTGCCCCAACATACTGGCTCTGAAATTTTACTCTTAAGTGCAACCTTGACTCAGAATGTTAAGGGCTTACGGCTTACTGTGAGCTACTCAGAGGAAATTAAAAAAAAGGAGCCTTCTGGATCTGAGTGCCTGGAACTCCACAGACCTTCCGTAACCTTCCTGATTTACATTTGAAGCATTCCCTTCGCTCCTCTACTCGGTCCTAGCCAAAAGACCAAGAAGTGAATCAATTCTAGAACTATCCAAATCACTTCTATACATCTTTGTTCGTCTCAGAAGCGACCCTGAATGTGTTTCTTACAACCTGAAACGAAAACAACAGAAGGCTGTGACACGGGGAAACAGCTCCTTTAAACACATGAGCACCAACAGAGGCTACCCATCACTACCCAAATAAATCCACCTCCACGGTGCCCTTGACCTCCATGGTGCCCTTGACCTCCACGGTGCCCTTGACCTCCACGGTGCCCCTGACCTCCACGGTGCCCTTGACCTCCACGGTGCCCCTGACCTCCACGGTGCCCTTGACCTCCACGGTGCCCTTGACCTCCACGGTGCCCTTGACCTCCACGGTGCCCTTGTAATGTAGCAGGAATCGTTCTTTTTACCAACTTCTGCAATTTGCAAACAGGAGTTTTCTGAAGATGCCTTATTAGAAATTGTTAGATTACAGATTAATACCCTTCTTTTTTCCTAATGCCTTTCAGGCTAAGGATGATCTACACATTTAAATGTTCTCTCCCCTGGTTCACTTTCTTCTTTGCAACAGCAGGACAGAATAACTTATTTCAAAATATTTCTATTCCTTCTCAGAGAAAGATGTTACTTCAGGAATTTTATTTTCAGCTCTATGGTATTTTAGTACTTCAAAGCATATGACAGCACTTTAAAATGTTTTTGAGAACATAAAATTCAGTGATGTTTATTTTGTTGCAAAAAAAAAAAAACCAAAAAAACCTTTGAACTCCAAGTGCATTAACTGTATTTCACCAAGAGGGAAGAAGGAAGTGTGGTTCAAAACAACCAGTTGAAAATAGTGAAAATCATATATGTGACTTAAAACTTCCCAGTTAACACATATTTTAAGAGTGAAAAAAGGTGAAATGAATTTTAATAGCATTTTATTTAGTTCAATGCATCTAAAATATTTCAACATATGATCATTATAAAATTATTTGAGAAATATTTTACAAACTTATTTTCTAAATGTCTGGAAGCAATGTGTCATGTACACTTAGATAGTATGTCAAATCAGATACAGAATTATACCAGAAATAGTTTATATAAATTTTGTAAGTTTTACGGTTGGAAAATTGGATTGATATACTCATGTTTCAAAAATAAGGTTTTCTTACAAATGAATCAAGGACCACTTTTGCCACATTTAAAGCATGTAAACTTAAGTGAAATTGAAAAATTTGAAAAACCAATGCTTCATCACTCACTTCATATGGCTAATGGCTCTTCTTCTTTAGTCTTCCCAGCTCTAGATCAACTGATAAGGCAAGGAGAGACGTTGAACCAGCACTCAGACCTCACAGTGAGGTTTGGACAATTCAACAGTCCATAATAGCTTGTTTTGAAAAGCCACGGGAGTTTTCCTGGAGATAACCCTAGGGTTTAAATGTGTTCATAGGTTAGAAGCTTAATTCCTTGAATTTGTGTGTCAATGATATTTGGATGTGGGGCCTCTGGGAGGGCAATTTGAATTAGATGACATCAGGAGAGTAGAGCCACCATAACAGCATTGGTGGCTCCAGAAGAAGGAAGACCTCAACCAGCAGCTTGCCGAGTTTCATCAGGAGGTACGTGGCTCTGGTATGACGACACAGCTCAAGGCCAGCACAGGGCACTGAGCACACGGCTGGTGCCATGTTCCTGGATTTCCGAGTCTCCAGAACCCTAGGCCGAAATAAACATCTGTTTCTTGTAAATTGCCTGGTCGTGGGTGTTTTGTTGCAACAACAGAAAGTAGGCTAAGACAGTTGTATTATTTCACTGAACTGTGGTCTTGTAGTTTTCATCAAATTTGTAAAGATTTTGACCATCACCTTGTCTTCAAAGGTGTGCTTTCCCATCCCTCTTTCCCCACCTTCCCAGCCACCTGCACCACTCCAGAACCCGTTACCTTCAGGCTAGTGGCTAAGTAATCCCACAGGTGTCTCTTACCCTTCTCCCCTTTCTTCCTTCCTCTCTTCCTTCCGTTTTGCTCCGTTCTCTTTTGGACAGTGCCTTTTCAACTTCGCTCTTGCTTCTTTTACAGAGCCTGGTGTGCTATTAAAACCATCTATTGTATTATGCACTGTTCTTTTCCGGTAATATATTTTTCCTTTTTAGAATTTCAATTGAGTTACTTTAATCTCTTCCACTTCTATCCTCATCATAGTTAAGCTCTCCTCTCCTTTCTTATATCCAAAGTGTATTTGCTGTATCTCTCCCAGGGCATGGAGGGAGTCGTTTTCTAAAAGCTGCTTTCACACTCTCCTATCATCTGTGACATTTCTGAATCTCTCCCCACTGTGGCTTACACTTTCCTCCTTCTTTGCAAGCCTGAAACATGCTGACTGCACACTGAACTTTGTGAATTTTCTTTTCCATGTTTGGAAGCTTTGTTCTGTATACTTACTTGGAATTATGTGTACAAACCAATTCTCAGCCAGAGATTCTAAGGAATCCACCTGTTCTTTCAGGCTGCTTTCACAGAACATCAAGTGCCTTGCCAATGGCAGAAATTGGTTTCTCACAGTTCTGGAAGCTAGGAAGTTGGAGATAAAGGCACCAGCAGATGGAATGCCTGGCTTGGACCTCACATGTGGGATGGTTATGAACAGTCTCCCTTAGGCTGCTTTTATAAAGGCACCAATCCCATTCATGAAGATTATGGCCTTATAACCTAATGACATCTCAAAGACCCACCATCCTTAAAACCATTACTTTGGGAGTTAGTATTTCAAAATATATATTGGGTGGCAGGAGCAGAAACATTTAAACCACAATTCATTCTCTCTCTCTCTTTCACCTTCCCTGCACCCCCCACCCCCTTTCAGCAAGCTGTTTTTCAAGATTCTTCTCCACAAGTTTTCTCACTTCAGTAAGACCATCATGCTCTGGGTTCCCATTCCTTTGCAGGCTCAGGAATCACTGCCCAGCGCCACCTGGTGTCCAATGATTGAAAAACATCTTGTGGATTTTACCAGTTTTCCAATTAAGAACAGAAGATAAATTCTGCGCTGATGATTCCATCATGGCCCATAACATAAAAACATAACTGCCTCACAGTTAATAAATATTTCTCTGTATGTGAAAAATCATTCAGAGCACTGTGATAAAGGAGTGAATTAAAAAAAAAATACAGTCCCACCCTCATGGTTACCACAGCTCAGCATGGAGAACAATCATGATGGAGTCACTCATCTGAACGTGGCATAAACCACAACCAATGAGAAGCAAGACAGCAGCAAGACCTGGAACTCAAAATGGGAAGAACATTGTAGTCTATGCAGTCAAGAAAAGTTTTCCAATACAAGAGAGACAGCAGTTCAGATTGAAGCCCTAAGGTTTGCCATCTGTGTTCCACAGGGTTGGGCAGCACACGCAAAAGGCATGGAACAAAATGGAATCCTTTGGTATGCTCTAGACCAATCCATAGACTTCCCCAATGGAGAAGCAAAGGTACGAAGAGCTCATGGAACTTGAGAGTGGCAGAGTAAGGCCTGAAACTCAGGCGCTCTCCTTCAGCATTCCAGTATGCTGCTAAGCCAAAGCAGACACTACTAGAACATTTTATATTCACCATTTTATGGTTCTGATACATTATAGATCAATGCACTAATTTTATAATTTATTTTCATTTTAAAATAATAATAGCCAAGATTTGATTCAAGATACACATTTTATCACCAATATGTTGATGTATTTACAAGGCATGGGCTGTAAAGCAGAAGCCAGTGTACAAGGGCGCACAAAGCGGAAAAGAATGAACACACTCACTCGCGAGTGTTGAAGCTGCTACAGCCTCATAATGGCCTGCAAATGGGAACGCAGCTCCCTAAGTGGCTAAATTATACCCAGGAGATTCTTGCTCAGCAGTGTAAGCTGTTAGTGCTTTTAGACTTTGGGAAATGCATCCATTGCCCCATTCCAAGCTTAATTGGCATAATAAATGTCAATTAAAGCTCCTTAAGTGAAACTATATATGTGTAGACTCATAGAAGACTTTGCTACAGGGAGACTCCCCTAAGAAACGCAGTGCACTTCCATTCAGCACGGACTGCATGGGGATGTCTACAAACGAATATGCTTACACATCTGCAAGCTCCCATTTACACAGGAAAGAGAAGGTGTTTTTTTTTTTCTTTTCACCAGCTATCCTAATGCATCACTCTTAAATGGATTATCAATGGTTTTATGTCTTATATGGCAGAATTCAGTTTTCTTTCAACAGAATCGCAGAGAGCACCAACTATGAACCAGAACTAGAAACAGAGAGTCAAACCAGGGCAAACAGCCATGCTCCACCCCTCAACATGGAGGAACTCAGCGTGGACACACACGTAATATCAGAATCCAGAGACGCAGGGTAGGCAGCCAGGCACCTGTCAGAATAGAGAGAGCTGGGGTGGACAGCCCCACCCCAGGCCAGCATGAAGAGATGCTACAAGATAGCCCAAGAAGGCCCTCTCCCATCCTGGAGGCTGTGGCCGCATACAACTCATAAATATTTACTTATGAGACTTAAAAGACAAATATTCAACCCATATACATTTAAACAAGGCCTGCATTAATTTCTGAACGTGGCAAAACCATGTTTTCCTGTCTTATATACAGCTCATTAATTTAGGTGTCAAACAACTCCATCTTGCTTTAAGTAGCCCAAGCTGCCAATTGTTTGATATCATCTTCTTCTTCTCCCGTCCTCCTGGAAGAAGCTGGAAGGAACAAAGAGAGGAACAAATATTAGTCATTGGTGACATTCACACATTCACTACAGCAAATTGGCATGAAATCTTTGCAAAAAGAAAAAAAGTGTTTACTTATGAAATCAAAGCTGACAGATGAACAGGATGGGCCTGGCTCTAAGTTTAGGGAACCATCCAGCCACAGAGAGCTGAGTAACCAACCTGCCCGGGACCGGTGTGCAGTGGGGACCCTGCTGGTTTTCCGCTCCGGCTGTGTGGGAAGAGAGGAGGAAGGCACACTGGGAAGTCGCATATTTGTCATCTTCTTATTTAATTCCTCCTGCTCCAGTTCTTCAAGTTCAGCCAACAGTTCATCCTGAACATTGGAGAAAGGAAGAATTATGGATTTAACGTTTCAAGATGTGGCTTTCTTCAAACACAATAACAAGAACATCTGCTCCCCAATTGATATGTGAGAACCCAGTGAGATGGAATATTTATTTTAGAACTAAGTCTTTTGTGCAACATTGAGCAATGATTAGCAAATGAGTGTTTCGGGTTGTGCAGATTTGTTGTAGTTAATCTTATAACACTCCAGCAAACAACCCTTCGAGTAATTTGTGTTAGCTGAATATATAATCTTGTAGTTTCTGGGGAAAGTACACCTTGCCTGTTATTTTTCCAATTCATTCTTTTCTTTCATCCAATTGAGAATCTGTGAAATTCTGTTCAATTGAGAAAAATAAACATTGTTTTTACTTCATCTAATGCTATTTTAAATAAAGCAAGTCAAGCACATCCTCACGTACAAAAAGCAAACAGGATCCAAGAATATGCAGTTCCTTTGTCAAAGCCAATGTAAATCATGCTGTGTGTCTGGATAGAGAGACTTCCATTCTGGCTGGGCGCTCTGTATTTCTATTTTAACAATAGTCCCACAGAGTGTGCATTTATCCTAAACTATTCTCTGCTCAGACACTGTAGAGAGGGAAGATTAGTTTTGAAGACTTAAAGGAGTTAAGTCACATTCTCCGGAGTCTGAGATGACCTCAGGCAGTTTAGCTCCAGCTGGCTCCCCAAGTCCTCAGCTGGAATCCAGCTGTCTCCGAAGGAGGTCAGGAATCCAAACTAAAACTGTCATCATTGGAATTTACAGGTTGTCATGATTAGAAATGCCCTCGGCCGCCCTTAGTTCCAACCCCACAGAGTCTGCATTCACGTCCTTCAACAGATTAATGGAGATCTCCCACCTGGAAAGCTTCTGAACTAAACACTGCAGATGCAAAGTCGAATCGATACTCTGTACACTCGAGGACTTAACACTTGGATGGGGAGAAAGGCACACAGATAATTATCCTACAGCGATCATATTACGGGGCAAGAGTGGAAATACTCATGCCAGATCCATCATTTGATGGAATCAACGAATGACAATTTTGCAGCAAGCTGAAAGGCTGACCCTCTCGGGTAGGAAAGAAAATCTGCAGGTGCATCATGTCACGTGAAATCACACAGTGCGCTGCATGCCTCTCCACAGACTGTACAAACAAAATGACATCAGAACAAACACACTGATGACTAGCTATGGCTGGAGTCAATATAGTACGAGCGAAGCAGCTCTCTTGTGCTGAAGGTGTGCATAAAACTTCCATGGTGCTTGGTGCTTAGCAGCAGCATGAGAAACATGTTGAGGTTTTCCTCAGCAAATACGATGACGGAGTAAAAACCTCCCCCATCTTTTTTTTTTTTTTCTTTCATTTTAGATGATGCTTACATAGTCGATCAGGGTGAGAAGGATCTAGTGTTAGGGAGAAGCGGGTGTGATCACTGTTTCCAAGCTTTCTATTTCTTCTTCCCATTTCTGGGCAGAGGGGCGAAGTAAGGGGATAGGCCATACCCAACCTGCCCACCGTCTAGTACCTGAGGATGGGGAAGGGCCACCCAATATCAACCCAGGGCCACGAAGGCACGTGTTCCTAAGGTTCTGCCCAAGTGGATGGGACCTGTCATTTCTAATCTTTTGTTTATTTCATGATTATATAAAGGAGTTTCAAAACTTAAGAAATTTTAGAGATGTTCCATTAACCCAACTATTTGATATATACAGGTGAAAAACGAAGGGCAGGAAAAGTAAAGGGATTTATTTATAATAAATTGTAGAACCCAGCTGGCCTTACAAGCCCCGATCCCTTCCAACCATATCACGATGCACTCACTACGTACTGGCTGGCATTCGGCAGGGCTTGGCAGAAGCTTACCTAAGAACGGCCGCAGAGCACACTGCAGGCCTTGGAAGCCACATATCCTGTTCTGTCTCATGGTCCTCTTTGTGTCTTCCTCAACACATTTTTTTTTTAAAGAATCAGTGATTTTTATTAGAAAGGCAGATTTATAGAGAGAGGGAGAGACAATGATCTTCCATAAGCGGATTCACTCCCCAAATGGCAACAACAGCCAGAGCTGAACCAATCCACACCCAGGAGCCAGAGGCTTCTTCCAGGTCTCCCATGTAAGTGCAGGGGTCCAAGGGCTTGGGCCATCTCTTTCCCAGGCCATAAGCTGAGAGCTGGATCTAAAGTGGAGAAGCCAGGACATGAACCAGCGCCCATATGGGATGCCGGCACTAGAAGGTGGAGAATTAGTATAATGAACTATAGTGCCAACTCCTTCAACACATTTTTTTAAACTCAATATTTATTTCTTCAAGCAAGCACAATTTTAATTTACATTATAGCCAAAGGCTTAATGGTTCTTCTCAATAGAGAGTTCAACAAATAACAAAAAGACCATAACACTCTAAATTTGTGGAAAACCATCGTTAGCTCACGAGCCACAAAAAAACAAGCCATGGGAAAGGGCTGGCGTGGGAGTCACATTTTGCCAACTCCTGATTTATACTAGCTCTAAAAGTTACTGACACCCAAGCATTGTTTTCGAAGGCTCCATGACACAATCTTCGTATGTGTCAGATTTTCGCTTTTAACAGTGCATACATACGGGAAGTTGAATTCTTTGCCCTGCTAATTTCAGATTTGGAAATGTTGCTGAAGATGTACTAGCCCAACTTGCATGTGCTTCGAGTAGAACAATTGAAATTCACAGTGCCGACTCCACCATTATAATTATAGTCTGTCTGTGTTATCAGACTGATTAGTCTGAATGGAATGTGTGTGCTAATAATGCCACTCCACATTGACTCTGGTTTCATAGCCTGAGTAATAAACAGAGGCAACCCAACCTCTAATTTAACAGCTCTGGAGCATAATACTTCTGTTCCTTGCAGAGTGACACAGTCTGCTTTGTTTTGCCCAGATGTGCAAGCACGCGATTCTTTGTAATGGGGCTATTTAGGTTTCAAACATTAAAAGTCACTAACTTTACATAATCACCTGCTGTGTTTTCCTTAATAGCTGAAAACTTAATTAGCAGGCTATTTGCCAAGCTATATTAATCTTTCCTTTAAATCAGAGCTACTTAAGCTTCATTTCCCTCTAAAGAGAAGTATATTTCTAACAAATATCACAGGATCTGTAAGCAATAAAGGAACCTGCCTACTGTATATACTAAGAAGCTGCCTTTAGGGGCCCGGCACGGTAGCCTAGTGGCTAAAGTACTGGCTTTTCATGTGCCAGGATCCCATACGGTCACCGGTTCTAATCCCGGCAGCTCCACTTCCCATCCAGCTCCCTGCTTGTGGCCTGGGAAAGCAGACGAGGATGGCCCAAAGCTTTGGGACCCTGCACCCGTGTGGGAGACCTGGAGAAACTTCCTGGCTCCTGGTTTCAGATCAGCTCAGCTCCAGTTGTTGCAGCCACTTGGGGAGTAAATCAATGGACAGAAGATCTTGCTCTCTGTCTCTCCTCCTCTCTGTACATCTGACTTTCCAATAAAAATAAAATAGATCTTAAAAAAAAAAAATGAAGCTGCCTTTCCAGCAGCCACAATTCTGCCTTCTTTCATCATCATACTCACCTCATCAAAACCATCAACAAACCCAACCCGCTGAGAGAACGCTTCCGAGATTTCCTGAGCGATATCCTGCTGCTCCGTGATCTCTTGCATCAAATCATCTATTTTGTTCAGATCCCTGGGAAATAGTATTAGTTAAAATAGTGAGTTGTTCTCATCAGTTCTCATGCTGATGTGACATTTCATACAAAGAGAACACACTCAGTGTGGTTCACAGATACAGTCCTAAGAACATAATGGCACTTCTCTCCCTCTGCTTATCTCTCCCTTTTGCTATTTTAGAATTTTAGCAAACAAGCAAAAAAAAAAAAAAAGAATTTTAGCAAACAATCACACATTCAAATATGGTCTTATATAAAAACTAAGTCAGTTTCATATTAATATTCAGTTATTTCAATAGGCTAATAAAGATTCCTGGTGATATTATCTGTCAATCTCAAAAACCACTTGCAATTCAAAACACATCCTTAACAATCATATATATGCACATAGAGTTTAAATATTAAATAGCCATGACATTTGAGAGTCACTGGAAATCAAGTTACTTTTATACCAGCAGTATGCGTAGATCCATTTTGAAATGTTGCCTGCTAGGACGTAGGTAAAATTCAAATGTGTTCTGTTGCACATCAATTTTCCAGGAAAAGTGCCAAGGAACGCCACGGGCCACCGTGAGTAAGACAAATGAGGGCAGCTCGCGGGCACTGTTCTGACAGCAGCCCTCTCTGCAATTCCCCATCCGCTTCCTAGAGCATCTGAGCTCTGAGATCCTGACTCCCTGGGGATCGTCCCCAAGTCCCAGTCACGGAGGCAGAACTGGACCAGTGAAGACCGCACCGGAATCTGCAGCGGCAGCAAAGGAATCCAGAGAACGTTGGGCTCAAGGGGGAGAGTCCTTCAAGGAAAGTTTCCAGCCAAGGGCCCCGCCGTGTCCTAACCCTCCATCTCAGCTGGCAGTGCCCAGAGACTGGATTCTGAGCTGTTACCATAGCACCCTGTCTCCCATCAGTCCGCCAGTCCCGAAACTAGGACAAACAGGGAACACAAAAGAAGGAATACTATCAGAAAATGTAACCTCAACACCAAAACTTGGATTCCCACTGGAACCCTTTTTATTTTATTTTTTAAGTTTCTCAGTGTCCATGTATGAACAAAGCTGAGATTTCTAATACATTTTATGTGCAAATCAAAAACAACACTTTGTACCACCTTCCTCTCATTATTCACCTCCGGATCTTTTTCATTAATAGCAAATGTAGAAAGAATACATTTATAAAAAGCAGTAGGAAAATGCATGACAAAAATCTGGGCCTGGGGGTGAGTTTTTCTTCATCCCACTTAGAGCAACCATACAGGATCTCGACTGTCATAGCAAATCGAATGGTCTCCGAGCTGGGAAAATGACATCTGATTGTTAACAAATTACCCAGGCAAGAACACTAGCAAGGCTCTCTTCACTGCCCCCGGGCTCCACGGCCACCTTTTCCCATCTGGAAAACCGTCCACATCTCTGGACATGCACTGCTCTCGCACAAGCTAGGCCTGCATTTCACATTCAGATCAAGTGTCCGGAAAGGATCATGGCTCAGGTTATTTTCCAGTGTGACTCTAAAGCAAACTTCCAGCCGTCCCACTATCACTGTCCATATCAATTACTGAAAGCTTGCTTTGTGGCAGGAACTATGCTAAATGTATCATGTCTGGCGTCTCACTGACTCCAACAACACCCTCAGGTGGCAAGTGCTGCTACAGTGATCTCCACCGAGGAAACTGAGTCAGGGAAAGGTGGAATGTGTTGCACAAAGGATAGTCACAGTGAAACTGGGATTAGAACCTACACAATTTGACCTTGGAATCTATGCTCATGACGATTATTCTACAATAGTGTTCCTCAGCCTCATGTAGTACCAGAATAACCTAGAACAACCTACCAGAATAACCTAGAACAACCTCATCAAAAGCAGTTAAGATGCACTGGAGAGCACATTTAGCCTAGCCATTATGAAGCTCCAATCCTACATCGTGGTTCTTGCGTTCCATTCCTGGTTGTGGCTCTTGATTCCAGCTTTCTGCAAATGCAGATTCTGACAGGTAGAGGTGAAGGCTCAGGTAGTTGGGTTTTTGCCTCCCATGTAGGAAATGGATTGAACTAGTTCTTGGCCCCCACCCTGGCCCAACAGCAGCACTGGCTCTGTACCAGCTGTTGCAGACACTTTTTAGGTCACTGGGGAGTGACCTAAAACGCTGGATTGATTACTCTCTTTCATAAAAAAATAAAACTATGGTTAAATAAAGAGTCCAGACTCTCCTCTTTCATAAAAAAATAAAACTATGGTTAAATAAAGAGTCCAGACTCTCCACATTCAAAGTGTCTGAACAATTGCAAGTTCTCACCAAAACTGGACAATCACCATTAATTACAGAACTCAGTGGCGGAGGGATGGGAAAGCAGTGTTAAACTGGCTAATCTTCTGTCTGCCAGGGCCAGCAACCATCCTGTATGGGCACTGGTTCTTGTCCCAGCTGCTCCATTCCTGATCTAGCACCCTGGTTATGGCTTACGGAGCAGTGGAGGATGGTCCAAAGCCTTGGGTCCCTGCATCTGCCTGGGAACCCAGAATAGGCTCCTGACTCCTGGCTTTGGATCAGCTCAGCTCCAGCTACTGGGGCCACGTGCGGAATGGAAAATCTTTCTGTCTTTCCTCCCTGAAAATCTGCCTTTCAATGAAAACAAACAAATATTAAAAAAAAAAAAAATAGTCCTAGAACTCCAGCAAAAGCTATCATTGAAATCTTTACACTTATATTTACAAGTGGCGTTCAGACCAAAGTAAGAGAACTGAGCAATATTAACAGTAGATATTATTATTATTCCTTTCCCATGAATTGTTTCTTTCTAAAAAAAAAAAAAATCCTTCTGAGAGAGCACTGCATTCAATACATCAAAAAGCCTCAGGAGAATAAGCCCATGTCTGCCCAAATCATCAGTAATTGCAAAGGCTGCAGGAAGTCAAGAGTTCGAGGGAGACCAGGTCACTCACATGTTTTCGTGAGCTGCTTTCATCGCTCTCGCGGCAAAGCCCATATTCCTCAACACTTCGGCGTTGGTGTGTGAGTTTTCCAAGGCTTCTCTCTGGAACTCGATGGTCGAGAGTGTCCCATCGATCTGAGTGAGCTGCTTCTCAAATCTCTTCTTTCTCTTTAGTGCCTGCAAGGCAGCTAAATAAGGGAGAGGCACATTTGTGAGACAGCCAGAAGTGTGCTTAGCACCAACCATGGACGAACTCAGGCTTGTTGGCTCCTTGGGACAAAGAATATACTAGAAGACCCCAGGAACTTACAGGCCATCTCCATCTTCCCGATCTCCTTCACCAACTGCCACTTCCACAAACATTCTGTTACAGAATGTCAACTTTCGTATTACATGAAATTAGACTATGCAAATGCTTCCGTTCACCTTGGATTTTATTTTTCCAGCAAAAATAAATAAATCTTTAAAAAAAAACAATCCTTTAGCATAGGGAAGGATCTAACGATGGCCAATGTCAGCCCTCTGTTCTTACAGCATCTTCACTGAGTCCCACAGAACCCACGTGACTTGTTTTGATGCACAGTCAGAGGCAGCTGGACCAGATCCTAGACTAGCAAGTGGCATATCTTGGACTGAAAGGACATAGAGGTTGTTATTAAATGTCATATTTGAGGATTAGATGCTATGTTGGTGTGAGAAAAAAATCACTGCCTTCAGAGAAACAGTTATGCAAATGATCAGAAACCACAACAGCAAGAGAGTCAGTCAATCCTTTTCAGAGAAACTAAATGGAAGGCATGACCGCCCCCCACCCGCTGCCAGGCTCCGGCCATACCACCCTGAATGTGCCCGATCTCGTTGGAAGACATGACACCCCAAAAGGCCCTACATGTCCATTCTAATAACTCACGGGGGGAGTGCAAGGAAGGGGCAGCAGCATGCTAACATGGAGGCAAGTGCTAATCAATGGAACTGACAGAAGAACTCACAAAACTTTGCAGTCTCAGAGTACAGTACACACGTCTTTCTTCTAAATCAAGTCTTGGTCAATTGTTTTTCTCTTGTAATTCTAATACATAGAGTTTATATATTCCAACAGCTTTTCTTGGGTACACAAAGTTGTTTCATGGTAGGTTTTAACTAATATTTTATTCAATTAAAATATTATTCATGTTTCATTTTATTTTGATTCCTTAAATTGTGTGTGTGTTTTTTTTACATTAAATGAATGTTTTGACTTCCTTAAGCCACAAGTTGTCTGCAGTAATTTTTTGACTTCTATTTAAAAGCTGCAGCTCATCTGACCATTTTTGATGTGTCTCTTACAAGCAGCATTTACTTATGTAGTTTATGCTACTATTCTAAATCTATTTAAATAATCTGTTTTCATGGAAGATTTTTCACTTAATCTCATTTAGTGTAATAACTGATACATCATCTATTGTGGCCTTTTAACTGTCTTCTATCTTGCAATTTCTGTTTGTTACATTTTTTGTTTTCTCAGCTTTTTAATTTTTATGTAGATTGATCAAATTATCCTTTGCTCATATTTCCATTTTGTGTACATTAAATACATTCTCCTAATGAATGCCAGTGTATATGAAATACATACATATAATGAAACACTCATAGAAATTCGTCAGTAAACATGTTACTATTATTTTAATATTTTTATTTGTATTGAGAAGGCAGATATACAAAGAGGAAGAGACAGAGAAGATCTTCTGTCCGTTGATTCACTCCCCAAGTGGTCTCAATGGCCAGTGCTGAGCCAATCTCAAACCAGGAGCCAGAAGATTTTTCTGGGTCTCCCACGTGGGTACAGGGTCCCAAGGCTTTGGGCCGTCCTCCACTGTTTTTCCAGGCCACAAGCAGTGAGCTGTATAGGAAGCAGGGCCACTGGGATTAGAACCGGTGCCCGTATGGGATCCTAGCACATGAAAGGTGAGGACTTTAGCCGCTAAGCTACGTGCCGGGCCCTATTTTACTCTTTCTTTTTTTTTTTTTTTTTTTTTTTTTATTGTTCCTTACGTTGTATTATGTAGTACAGTTTTATAGGCGCTGGGGATCCCCCCCACCCCTCCCATACCCCTCCCCCCATGGTGGATTCCTCCACCTTGTTGCATAACCATAGTTCAAGTTCAGTTGAGATTCATTGCTTGCAAACACATGCCTAGCTATTTTACTCTTTCTAAACAAGATTTGCTTATCATCATGACCCTACAACATCAGGTTGAAAACAAAAAAAAACCTGTAGTTTTCTTACTTCAAAATAATTTCCCGTCTTTTTGTTTTCCTTTAATTTTGTAAGGAAATCTTTCTTAACAACTGGAGTAAGCTTTAGAGACAGTTTCAACAATTACACAAGACTACAATGTCAAACTGTCATTTTCCTCCTGTTGTTGCTTGTGTTCAACCAAACTATTCTCCTTACTGGATTGCTTTGTTTTATTTTGCTGGAATACATTTTTATGTTTCAGCAATGCATTTTCAATATATAGATATAAATACTGCAGAGGCAAACATACAAAGATGCATAGGTATGCTCAGTTGCCAATAAGTATAAAATGTCTTCATTTTGTTTCAAGCTTGAGTAGAAATTTGGATCCTCACAGAATTTTACATTTAAAAGATTTCAAAAACTTTATGCTGCCATTGTCTTTGGCAAATGTCGTTCTTTCTGTGGATAATCCACTTTCATGTCCCTCTAGAAATGTTTAAGACTTTCTTTCCCACAAATGGACTCGTGAAATCTCACCAGTATAGGTCTAGGCGTGTTAACTTCCATTCATGCTTTTTTCCAATGAAATTGTGCTGAGTGTTTTTACTTTTGAAAAATCAAGTCTTCCTGCAGCTAGAAAAAGGTGTATTCTACTATTTCTTTCTTTATATCTTTACTCTCCAGTATTATCCGTATACTGTCTACCAAAATCTCTACTTGTATTTTATTTAATTACCCATGCCAACACCCCTCTCTCGCAACATTCTGGTTTTTCCTCAACTGAAATCCCCTATTAGATAGATGTTGATGTATTTAACTTCATCCTCCAATTCTTTCATCTCTATCTTTTTATCCTTGTGCTGGAGGAAAGTTTTCATTTCCTTTTCCACGTTCCTAATTTAGTTGTCATCTGTATTCATTAGCCTTTTCCCCCTTCCCTGATATTTACACTTATACTGGTCCTTGTTCTCTAGTTGTACATTTTTACGGCAACGAATTGTTGATTTACAAGTGTAATAGCACTTTGAATCTTCCTGAAAATACTAACAGTTTTGCCTTTAGCATCTTTCATGTCTTACTTCTCTCTCCTCTCTCCATCTCCACTGCTTCCTCTGTTTATCCAAACCCTCTTCTTTCATACACTCACTTTTTCCTTAGAATTCCTCTGATTTTCTATCATGGGCTTATCCTTGTAAGGGAAAAAACCAGAATGTGTCGTGTGTGTCGTGTCACATCCTATATGCGTGTTTTTCCAGGCAAGGCTGCCCATAGCTGTACGGAAGAGCCTGGATGGGAAGAGAGGAAGAAATAAGTGAGTGATGTATGCCAACAGGCAGGTTTCTTTCTGTGGACAGTGAGTAAGGATACCGACCATTTGGGTCACTTACAACTGGGCTGTCCTTTAGGTGTGGAATCTCTCCCTTTCCTTGTGTATGGGGAATGACTGTTCTTATGAATCCCTGCTCACGTGCCGGGCCAGCCTTTCCGAGGCTCCGCTCCGCAGCCCTCTCCGGGTGCAGCACTAACCATTCAAGTCCTTGCCAAACAGTGTTTATGCTTTATCGATAGAACAGCCTTCAACTGTTTAACTTGTCCTTTAGGAAAGAACTGAAACAATTTCTGTTCCATCAGCTGGCTTAGATTTCTCTTTACCATATCACACTCGAGACAGGCTAACCACGCTAACAACCAGAGCCACGCAAGGGAGCCAGGCAGGTAATGAAAGGAAGTGAAGCAGAGAAAGGGTCAAGAAAAGGGCCGGCTTTATTTTCTCCCCTGTGTGGGAGAGAAAAATGTTTCTCCACTATAAACAATGAAAAATAGCACGTAGATGAAGATAAATGGCACTGGGCCCTGACCCCGGTACCGAGGGTAAAGATGAAGATGGGGGAGGGTGAAATTGGCTCGGTCAGCCTGAGCTGACGGCGGCAGCACACTTGGCTCCAGTCTACAGACGCCATGCAGGCCTGCAGCCTTCCAAGTGTTCTACAGAGGCGAGAAATCTGGATATGCCTACAAAATGCCTCAATTTTAAATCCTGATTTGCATGTAAAACAAAATCCCTCCGTAAGTGAAACCAATGACTTTTGAATGGCTCGATCTGGTCCTAGGACACTTGGACTGACTGACCCTTCTGTCTGGAACTAGAAGCTGTTTCCATATGTTACACTAGGGTCTTCATTTCCACGAGGCAAGCAATGTGTGACTGTCTCTCTGCGAGCTGTTAGGACATGACATGATGATGCCATTGACACATTATGAGTTGGAAAGGCCTTGACTTTGCTCCCTAATAAATAATTTGGAAAAGAGATTGCTCTGTTTTTTTTTTTTTAAGGCATGCAACATTTACTGCAAATCAAGCATTGCACTTGACAAAGAAGGACATTTTGTGAACCATGTAATTTCAACTGAGTAGAAGGTGCAATTCAGTCTTCCAAACTCCTGCATGTATGTTTAGCATTTGTCCTAAAACAAAGGAATCTGCTGTATTCCTCGTGGTAGAAAACAGTCAGAGGTTTTTTTTCTCTCCTCATATAACAGTGATGCTCTTCCCGCCATGGGGTTGCAGAACAATGTGTGCCGATTCATGTCCCAGTTGCTCCACTTCTCATCCAGCTCCTCACTAATCATCTGGCAATCTCCTACTCCTGGTGGATGGCTCAGGTGCTTGGGCTCCTGACATCCTACAGGACACCTAGAGGCTCCTCGCTCAGCCTGGCCCAGCAATGGTTGTTGCAGGCAACTGTGGAATGAACCAGCAAATGGAAGCCTGCCCGCTCCCCTCCCCCTTCCGTATCTTCCTCTCTAAATATGTAACTTTCAAATAAATAAATATTTAAAAATACAAGAAGCTGCCTTCTCCAAGCAAATTTAAACTCACCCTATTATGCTGCCAAAGGAGGAAGGCTTTCAGTTATCTTTGCCAAGCACCTTACAATGGCAGAAAAGCATTCCTTTGCATTGTTC